ATAAGAAGGGGTGCGAGTACATTATGGACATCAGCAAAGAAATGTGGACAAATGCATATGACGGGGGGTATCGCTATGGTTATATGACAACAAACTTGGCTGAAGCAATAAATTCAACCTTAAGGGGGCGCGTCATTTACCAGTCACGGCGTTGGTCAAAACGACTTATTTTCGTTTGGGTCAACTCTTTGCAAAACTCGGTGGACAAGCTCTTACTTGGATGCAAAACGGACATATTTACCACCCAAGACTAGTAGCCGATTTACAGAAAAAAGTGGCTACATCAATGGGATGTTAGTTACAAATTTTTCTCGCACCCGTGAATTGTTTCGTGTAACCGAAATGCCACGTCCGCTGCAAGGGATTGAAGCTAACTCTTTCAGAGTTAATCTGCAAGAGAGGTGGTGCGATTGTGGTTTCTTTCAAGCACTCAAATATCCATGCTCTCATGTCATTGCTGCTTGCTCACATTCGCATTTGGACTACAAAATTATGTTGATCCCGTATACCAACTTTCACAAGTTTTCAAGGTATATGAATTTGAGTTTCCGCCCATAGGAAACGAAAGAGACCCAAATGAGATTCAAACTTGGCTTACAATTGTACCAGATCCATTGCTATTGAGGGACTCAGGTCGTCCAAAATCTACTAGAATACATTGTGATATGGATATTCGGGAGAAGTCAACAGAACAAAACGATGTGGGCATTGTAGAAACATCGGGCACAATAGAAAAAAATGTCCAGCTCTGTTATCATCATATAACCGTTAACTCTTATGTAATTAAAGTTTTAAATGAATGTTTTTATTTCTAATAATTTAATGTTATTGCATTATATAATTTGTCAATGTATGTACACCTAAATAATTTTTTTTAACTTTTAAATACATAAATATATTTAATATTTATTTAATATAATATTTAATATTATTAGTTATAATTTTTTTTAAAATATAATAATAATTCCACCTTCTAAGTAGAGAAAATATTAAATTAAACAAATTAAAAGTTATTAAAAAATTTATGTATACGATGACACATTTCATGTTCTGATTAGAGGATTAAATTTATTAAATTAAATTTTCAATAAGACTAATTTTATAAAATATGTAAGTCTTGAAGATTAAATATGTAATTATACTAATTTATTAACTTATGCATCAATATTTTCGTTAAATATTGATATGAGATGACTATATTGATTGATAACATTTAAATAATTAACTGATAAAATTAATAGATCGATAATCAAAATCAAAAATACTCGAAACTTGATAATTCTTACATTATAATCGAAACATTTTACATAATATATTATTAATTTATAATAATAATAAAAATAAACTATTTATTATATAATAAAATACGTGTCTGCTGAGTTGGCAAAGGCGCGTCCCCGGGGACGCGCCTTTCACACGTGGCATTCAACTCAGCGAAAAACACGGGTAAAGCGCGCCCCCGGGGACGCGCCTTTGCCAACTCAGCAGAAAGGGTGCTAGTTCTGGAAATATTGGTCAAACGGTGTCAGAAAAGTAAAATTATAATCAAACGATTTCTATTGTTACTATTACTTGCAATGCTGGATCTCAAGGAGTAAGGCTAGATTTTGTCATATTATATTATATATATATGCACTGAGTTGAGTGCAGCTTTTGCAATTTTTTATGCTAAAATGTATTGAACTTTGAACCTGCACGTGCCTGTCGGTTTCCAACCTTTTTTTTTCTCCCATTTGTGCACGCCTTTATTGGTTTTGGTTAAGAAATTACAGTTGAGGGGTTATAAGTAAATTTTGGAGTTTAAAATTGAACAAATAATAAAAAGATATTCATATCGTATATCATCTTCAATAGAAGCAATTAACTACGGGTTGGTGAGATTTTCTTTTATTAGAATAAGGATTAAATACACCACTGTAATTTGTACCAAGTTGCTCCTTAAAAGTATTTTTCATGTTTTGTTTTATAAATTTAAATCGTTACATGGTTTGTCTCTAATCATTAATTATGTTAAAAATAATATAGGTAAATTACATATTTAGTCACTCAACTATTTTCACAATTTTGTTTTCGTCAATCAATTATTTTTTCTTTCAAAATAATCATTGAATTTAAGTTCTTATTCCATTTTAGTCACCTAATTTGATTCAATTTAATTTTTTAAATTTGTAACATATAATAATTCATTTATATCACATATTTTTTAATTGACATATACATTTAACCTATAATGACAAAAACAATATTATAACATAAATAATTAACAACATATTAAATTTTTTAAAGTTGAAAATTTAATAAAAGAAATATTAAATGTTAAATTTAAACATCATAAATATTTTAAGAAATAAAAATATGAACGGGTTATTATTCATTTATAAATGTATATGTTTAGTAAAATTTAAATACCATATTTTGAATTGGATTAATTTTAAATAAATATAATTATATCACATATAAAATCAAACTATAAAAAAACATAATAACAACCTAATTTAAATTTGAACACCATTCTAATTGTCAGTAACTAACATCAACACGCAATTACTCATCGTCACACTTAATAATGCACACAATTATTAGTTTGGATCACTTGTCACGGCCTCGTCCCGAGCCAACCCCGTGAGCCAGTAGATGAACCGGTTTCAGAACCTGCACCAGAGCCAAATCGAGAGTCGGCATAGGAACCAGCTCGAGAAACTACGAGCGTTTGGTGTGTTGTTTATTAAAATTTTATACTTATTTAAAATTAGTCTTATTCGAAATATGAGATTTAAATTTTACTAAACATATACATTTACATATAAATAATGACCTGTTTGCATTTTATTTCCTAAAATATTTATGAGATTTTAATTTAACATTTATTTTATTAAAATTTCAAGTACAAACAACTTAATATGTTGTTTATTATTTATTTTATAATATTATTTATTATTATAAATTAAATGTATATGTCAAATAAAAAATATGTTAAAATGAAACAAAAACTTAAGTTTAGTAATTATTTTTGAAAGAAAAAATATTTGGGTGACGAAAATAGAACCATGAAAATAGTTGAGTGAATATACATTTAATTTATAATAATAAATAATATTATAACATAAATAATAAACATTTACTCATGTTTTTAACGGAATTAACGGTTTGAGACAAACAAGATAACGATTTAAATTTTATAAGACAAAACGTCCCAAAAATACTTTAATGAGAAACTTGGTACAAAAGACAAAGTGATGTATGTAAGCCTTAGAATAAAGGTATTTATTATTGAAAACATTGATTAATTCTGTCATTGCGAGTAATCTCAATAGGAGGTAAATGATTGGTCATGAATTATATTTCATTTTCATTAGTAAGGATCAAACACCCAATATCATTACATCTCATTGTTTAGATAAAAAAAGTTATAATAAAAGAGATAAAATTATCAAAACTGAAATTGATGCCAATGAATTCAGTGCAAAAATTTGTACCATTCCAGTAGGTGAGCATTCTTAAATATACCATTAATGCAATGTTTTAAGTACATATGAGATAATATAAAAAAAAAGTTTGAAAGATTGGTAGAGATGATTAGTAGTGAGATATACAACGAATAATTTCGTCGGATGAGTGTAGTAGTACTTTTGTTTGACGTGAATATGATGGTTTGAGATAGTAAATAATTACATGAAATTACTACAACTTGATAAAAAAGAAGTGAATTCGTATGCTCATAGTAAGTATATTTCATCTTTGAGTAAATATATGATTGGGGAAGAGAAAAAAACTGAAGACAACAAATGATTAGTTAATAACTTGCAAATAGTCTCTTTTGATTAGAACTCTAAAGCAAGACTTAAATTGTTCAAAATCAATTAATTTGGTTTTGGGGCGGGGGGGGGAAGAGAAAGGTACCCTTCAGTGTTAAGTGGGGTATGTATTGCCCATAAAAGAGAAAACAGAAAGTTAAAAGGAGCGGTAATCAAATATAAAAATTGAACTTGGAATGAAAAAGAAACAAGGACATTGGATTCGTTTAGATCTTGGAGGGAAGAAGCAGCCCACTAGCCTACCACCGAGAGACATTTGGGTGGGGGTACCTTTCGATGATTTAAATAATGGGTCCACCCACATGAAAGCTACATATTTTTGTAATAGAAATTTGTTCGTAACATTATTGTTATTCATGGTAACGGTAAATACATTATTGAAAAATATAGGATAGAAAGCTAACATTATTGTTGGTTTTACTATTACTATTATTAAAGAGAACGCTATTGTCAGTGTCATGTAAATTATTTCATTGAAATTAATTATTTAGGCTTAATAATGAGAGACTTTTGTGGCTTTTAGCAAACTATCTTTATTTCTTATTATATTATAGGCAAGTTTAGGAGATGAAGATGGAGTGGAGGGACTTCCAATTTTCCCACAATGCCCTTTCGTAACCCGCTATGCCTTGGGATCTAATTTTCTCTGCACGAAGGGTAGATGTGAGAAATTGGCTGGAGGGTTGGAGTCAAGGTGAAATGGGTGGACCATACTGCCACCGACACTTTTAAAACCCTCTAGCTTTTTATGGATAACCGTGAACGGCCATGTGATGAACCATCATGGCAGCTAATAATAAAAATATTTTAAAAAAATGAAATGAAAAGAAAATAAATAAAATGTACGGAATAGCCACGTGACCTTATTTGCATGGTAAGGTAAACGATAGAAATATTAACGCTAGACGCGTCAACATTCTTAACTATTTTTGTATGAAGGCATGCATTCGGATTAATGGTTATTATTGCGATGACCACACATGACATACCTGCTTTATTAATCTCTTATGTTGAAGGCATTAATATTGCAATTTTAATGAGTTCAAATAGAAAAAATGTAAAAGATGTTTTAATTTGACTACACTGTTACATGACCAACTTATCCGGGGATGAAGTCTATCAGAGTTGATCGGGTTTTGGGTGAATAAATAGACCATTAATGGGTAAACCTCATTGTAACGAAACAAGTGATGCTAGATTTGTCTGCATCTAACATCAGCAACAAGATGGCGTATGTGTGGGGCATACCATTTCACTCTCTCCGCGTGATCAATAATAACTCCCCAACAACGGCCTGCACGCAACCATTGTCACTCAAGTAAACTGCTATTTCTTAAATAAACATGAATCCATGTGTTCATGAGCTCAGAAAGTCATACCCTCACATCTTGCAAACTCAGATATCGATTTTGAAACATGGTTAGCCCACAATTCCTCCTCGGCGTCCTTCGCATTCCCATGGACATGCAATATCCCACCCTCACTCCTGCATTTTTAATACCATTAAAGGTGACCACACATATTGTAGTGGACTCTTGGCTGAGAAACAATTGCAAATTGGGATAACTGAGAAGAAATGAATCTAATATACAAATTTAAAGAAAAGCAACGTAATATCTCCCATCTCTGTTTTGAAAATCGGATCGGATCGGCCGGTTCAACCGGGAACCGTTGCTTAGTCCGGTTCAATCTAAACCGGTTGAATAGCTACTAGTGAACCGGCCAGAACCGTTAAACCGTTCGAACCGGACCGGCTGAAAATCAGAAAAAATCAGGAATTTTGTTTTTTTTTTAAAAATTAAACCAAACAACGTCGTTTGTTAAATGAGCCAAGTCGAACTCGAATATTGCTGAGCTCGACTCGAACTTGAAAACTTTAAAAGTAAGTTCAACTCAACTCAAACTCACAAGCTAAAAATTATCAAGTTCAACTCAAACTCGAAATATAATATTGAAACTTGAACTCAAAAAGGCTTGAACTCAAAAAAACTCGATTGAAGCCTAAAATTCGAGCTTGATTGAAGTGAAAGAATAGTTCATTCAATGCTCACCAAAAGGCTCCATGATTTTGAATGTTAAATTACCTCTATTATTTATAGAAGTTAGTTGTGATGCTCTTCTATATTTCTTACAATGTGAGATTGTTTTGTTCTCATTTTTACTCTTAGACTTTGGGATGCTCTTCTATGTTTTCTTAGCCATGTGAGATTGTTTTTAAAAAAAATTAAACCAAACAATATCACTTTGTTATGATTTTTTTAACCCCAAATTTATTTTTTTAATTATAATTATATAATTATATTTATTATTTAATATGTTTTACCTTAAATATTATGTTGTAGTTAATTTGAATCATTTTGTTTCACTTGATTTTATGATTTTTAACTTATATATGTTATGATTTGTTTTATATAACTTGTGATATAAAAAAATATTTTTTATTAAATATTTTTGGTATTTTTATTGAATTTTTTAAATAATTATGACGTCGTCCGGTTCTTCCGACCGATATAAAAAATATTTTTTATTAAATATTTTTGGTATTTTTATTGAATTTTTTAAATAATTATGACGTCGTCCGGTTCTTCCGACCGATTGGACCGATTCGACCGGTTGAACCAGTGAACCGGTAACATGACCGGTTCACTAACCGGTCCGGTTCTGAAAACCATGTCTCCCAGAATTTAGAATATAAAGTCGAAACAAGTAAGAGAGATGACATGAAATGAAACACAAGTAATAGCATCAAAAGAAAGCACCTTAATGCCCTCACAGCAGTAAGCCAGCTACCCTCACTTGATGGGATAAGACCAAGACAAACCCGATCTGGAACTCCCTATAGGAAATAATTAATACGAATCAATCAACACATGGTTCATTTTTTATACTTCAAGCTCATGTTGCCATGGCAATACGTTACTTTTGGTCTATTTAAATAGCTGAAAACTTTAAAAATCAATATTGGATCATTTCATGAAAAGGTATATATTTCCATATGCTGCATTTTGCGCTTTTGGCATAGAAGTTTACAATGCAGACACTAAGCATGTCAACATACCTTGTCAAATCTTGTAATTTAAGAACACAATAACCCACAAAATGATAAGTGCCACACCATTAATTCAATAATTTCTAGTCCAACGCTGTTACAATAAAATGTAGATCAAGACAGATATGGTAATTGATAGACCAACAGAATTATCTATCAATATCAGTGCGAAAAAATAAGTCTACTACTAGTTAAAGGTCACAAAAACCAAGTTAGCATGCATTTAGATTTGGATTTAATGTGCATGTATTAGAGAAAAAGCTGAAAATACTCGAGATTTGGAGAAAATTTTGAAATACATAAAAATCATAATTACAGCCTACCTAATGAGGAAAGGAAACACAAAATATCCAATTCCAGCAAACAGATCCACAATGACTGCATCTGTACTATCCAAATTGGCCATACGGATTTTCTCAGAAAGATTGCCCCAAGAGAACATGCACTTAATAGCATCAAAAGAATATAGAATCCCATTCTCACGATGATCAACCCAGCCACTATCTCCTACAAGTATCTCCAAAGTACTGTCCCTCGTACCATTTGCAGCAACTCGACCCTTGACAAATTATAAGAAATAATTCAATGAGCGCACAAGTGGCATACATAAAATGATGAATGGTATCGATAAGATTCAGAACTATTGACTCTTTGTCTAAATATGAACAGTTAATATAATTCAATTCATAATTCCTACAACAAAATGGAACCAACAGTTAAATACATAAACAAACTAAAACCTTCAAAGTCATCTCTGGAAATAATAGCTTCGCCTTTCATGTAAAAATTGGTCATAATGAATCAACTGTCCGACTAATTATACATGAAAATCATTTACGGTGTTAGGCTGAATCAACCTAAGACCAAAAGATTTTTAAGAAAGTAAAGAATGAAACAATTATCGGTCAATATATCTTACCTGCCTTGCAAGGCGGAAGTATTAAGGGATTCGGCAATAATGGGCCAAAGCTCCCCCCAATTGAATCCCATACTGGGTCCCTGAAGGAAGAAATTGGGAACACAATAATATCACCGAGTCGTTCCCACCTGAATTAGTCAAAAGGTGTTAAAATATTGAGAGGATATGGCATCCACATTTACACAGAAAACAGAAACAAGCCACTGCCACTCTATATCTGACTACATAAGTTTCACATAACTGAAACCGGCACAGAGCAAACAAAGTGAAGTAATGAAACAAACCTGTTTGGTAGCTGCTCCAGAAGTTCATCTGATAACCCATTTTGCCTAATCAAAGAGGCATCAGCTTCAGTCATTATTTTTAGGGGAGATTTGGAAGCTTTTCTTCTTTGAACAACCTCATCTGGCAACTTAATAGCACCAAATTCCTTAAGAATGTCCAAAGCTGCTGAGGAGGACATCTCATTTAAGAGAACTTTCAGCTTTAAATGTTTTGAAAGGATGATGGTCACCCGACCGTTCAAATTTGTCTTCAAGGAATATAGCACAAAACTTCTGTCACGGGGAAAGAGATAAATAAACCATCCTCTTGTGCATACACTTTTCTCTCTTGATCTAACCATCCAAACCAGGGTTTTAAACAACGGTCCGCGATCGCAATTTCGGCCGCGATATAGCGGTTTCGCCGCCGTCCAAGTTACCCGCGACGGCCGCAATCATGGTAAATCTGAAATCAAATTACGCCATCAAGGATCGACACAATTCCCTCCGAATAGGTCGATCCCTTACTCCTACCAACGATCCAAAACCTATTTCTCCTAGCACATTCAACTGACTCTTCTCCTTAAGGTGTTTAATTAATGAATTCACCCTTTTAATGATGCATCTTGTCGAAACTTCCTACATTTTTTAACAATATATAATGTTATAGTTCTTATATATTTTGTATCAACGTATTTACAAGTTTAATGAATACCTTATTTTCATGTGCTTTCCTCCGTTCTTTGTATTCTTTACTATCATTCCTTGACTGTGTGATGTAAGGTTCCTTTTCAGCATCACTCATTGAATTCCATTTGGACCTCACATCTTTTGTCACCTAATATTAAACATAAACGTTTCTTTAATCAATACATTAACACTAAATACTACTCAATGTCAATTTCATTTTACATACCGAACCGCTCTGTGTGCCATCTTCCTTTATCCTTTTGCATTCGGCCATACTGTCAACATTTAAAATTTGTAATCAATTTAAAGTTTATCGATACTTTAATCCAATTACCATTTCAACAATAATAACAAAAAGACATTGATACTTACTAGAAGTACATATATCCACCCTTTGGTTGCTTTCGAGTCTCGGCCTCAATTTCAAAGTCATCTGCGCCACCAATAATTTTCCAACCCATTGACTCCATTTTTCCTTCATATATCAGTTTACGCAAATCAAATTATTTTGTTACATACACTTTATTCAATATACAAATATAGATAATACTCTTGTGGTAAAACGGTTTTCTTCAAAAGAATTTGAATGGCCACTACAAAATGTGTCGGCACATTTATACAACCTATAATATCATTTCTACCTATAATATTTAATAAAGTATCGAAATTTATATTTTACCTTCAATATCACTTTCTACCTGCAATCGGTCTCAAATGCTTCTTTACTCCAAAACCCCAAACAACACATAAAAACCCTATTCGCGATTACTGTAATAATAAAAAACTAGGGTTTCGACAACATACTTTTCGATTCGACTGCATCAACAAACAAACAAACATCGCTTTAGAAACGCCTTCTGAAATGCAGCAACAATTATGCTTCGATTTCAAAAACTCGTCCGTTCTATCGATTTTCAGATGATATTTAGATATGGCCTTTATATTTTCATCGGATTTGTTATTTATATTTAATCGATACAAATACAAAAGTGTCGATACTTTTATGTCAGGTGTCGATACTTTCGAAAGGATAATTACCTATTTCTTTGAAAGTGTCGATAATTTATTACACGTACTTACGAAAGTATCGACACTTTCAATATATCCGGTATCGTTTTACCGGTTTTATCATTTTGATACCGGTTTTATCATATTTTTACCTGTTATATCGTTGTGGATCGATATATTTTTTTAAAGTATCGACACATTATAGGCGCTAAAACTGCTTCTCTTTTAAATTCACAAAGTGTCGATCCTTATATAAAGTATCAACACTTTCAATATATTCGGTAACGTTTTACTGGTTTTATCATTTTGATACCGGTTTATCATATTTTTACCTGGTATATCGTTTTGGATCGATACATTTTTTAAAAGTATCGACACTTTATAGGATTTAAAACTGCTTCTCTTTTAAATTCACGAAGTGTCGATCCTTATATTAAAGTACTGACACTTTAAATGTATCCGGTAGCGCTTTACCGATTTTATCATTTCAATACCGGTTTTGTCATAGTTTTACCTGTTATATCGTTTTAGATCGAAACATTTTTAATTTGGATCGACACGAGACAAGTTAAGTTTGCCGGTTGCATAATTTTTTAATATTTCTTCATGACTTAGACCTACTACATTATTATTAGTCAATATTTTCGGTAGCGCTAAACCGAATTTGTTAAATATCTTTTAATATATCCGGTAACACCGTATATTAGCCGTATATTAACATGCCTTTCCTGAGACAATCCCCTTACTTTCTTTAAGAATACAATGCTCAATATATAGGCGCTGAATACAACGCTGCCTAGCTGGATAACAACCATGACATCAGCATAACCAAAGAACATTCTTGAACAAACTAACAACCTAAGCCATGTCACTCTCGCCATGCATGATATGCTCCAACATCTTTGTTGCTTTCTACTGATTACAAGATCTACACCAAGTTGCACCTCTTACGCCAACATCCTTGATATTTTCTTCGGCATCAGCAACAAGCACATTCTGACAAAATAAAATGCGTGGTCTTTATTAACGGTTTAGTTACTCCATCTGCAAGTTGGTGTGAAGCTGAAACATAATTTACTTAGAGCATTTTACTGGTCACTTTCTCTCGGACAAAACACATGTCGAGCTGAACAAGTTTCAATCGAGCATGGAAGACAGGGTTGACGCTCATAGTTACCGCCCTTGTGTTGTAATTTCACACAACAGGAATTGTATCAACAGTTTCTTCCAAATCTGAAAGAAGCGATTTCACCCAAACTACTTCAGAAACATCTGCGACACTTCGATATTCAACTTCGGTTATTGATCGAGCCACTGCTTTTTTTTAGCTCCAAGAAATAAGATTGCAGCCTAAAAACATGCAACACCCTGAAACAGAGCGTCGATCATCCACACTATTCGCCCAAATTGCATCAACGAATGCAACAATGCAATTTTCTTCATCAGACATGGATGGTTGAAACACTAAGCCAAGATCAATTGTGCCATTCAAGTATTTCAATATTCGTTTGACTGCAGTCCAGTGACCTTCGCACAAACGATACATGTGCTGAGAAACCCAGTTCACGCTAAATGCAATGTCTAGTTTCGTATGACTCAGATACAACAGAGCCCCGACCACACTGCGACAATTTTGAGCATCATCAAGCAATGGACCAGCATCATCCGTAAGCTTTGGGGACACAACCATGAAAGTGGGATGACAAGCAAATAATTCCTAACTCTCAAATAAATAAATATAATAATATAAAGAAGTAGGGTCGATCCACAAGGACTAAGGAAGTTTAATAATGTTGTTTCTCGGATTGAATCAACAGCAAGAAAATAAAAATGAGGATTTAAAATTAACGAAAATAAATTAATAAAATAAATAAATAAATATTGAATAGAAAATAATATTGAGAAAATAAATAAAGTATAAGAATTAAATAAAGATGATATGGCCTCAAGTTTTGCTTAACCTCAATTTCGATCGGTCATCGAAATAAAATTTTTCATTCGTGACGTATGTCGATTACAGTTAACAACGCCCAACCCCTGTAGCTAACTCTTTTCTCCGGTTAATCGAAATTTCCATGTCTATCTCTGTAATCCGATCTTTAAATTCTATAAAAGGCTGACTCGAGTTATAGCGTCTTACCGAGAATTGAACTCGATCTTGATTCCCCTTAACAAACTGCCGCTAAGTTTGTTCACAGGAAGTTGAATTACGATCAACCGATCCGACTTCCAAACTTCAAGCAAAACATTATTCAAATCAATGTGCACCTTTTGAGTTGAAGATGTAATAATTTTAAGGAAATGATCGATTGTCACTCCTAATTTCCAAAGAATCAAGAATACGATCTGAAGGTATGAAGATCAAGATTCAATTTTCACGAATAAAATTGAGTTTCGCAAAAACCTTTGGCTAAGTAGAAGTTTAGCCAAGCATGAATTGAATCATGATTAGCATTGTGGAAAAAAATAATGAAAGAAAATAAAGAAAGAAAGATGGAGATAAAATAAAAGTAGAACTTCAATAAATAACCAATGAAAATAAATTCCAATTTGAGTTTCAACTGTTGAACCTAAGGGGTATTTATAACCCGAGATTTCAAAGCAAATAAAATAATTCATTCCTAAAATAATCAAATTAAAAATCCTAATGAGAGTTTTAATAAAAGAACTCATTTTAAATGAAATAATAATAGAATAATCAAACTAAAAATCCTACTTAAAAATGTTTATCACAAAATATAAGTATTTCAGTTTTCTGGCTGAATTCATCTTCATCTTCTGGATAACCTTATCCCAAGTAAATTCCAAATTAAATATTCGAAGAAGTTCTGCTTGTCTTCTATAATATGTTGAATGGGCCGTCGAAATCTACTAGTTTTTAGGCTAATTAATCCAAAGAAGTTTATGTCCAAAATAAACTCAAAATAATGATAAATCAGTAATATCTAAGTGATAAATGAGAGGTAAATAATAATAAAAATATGTAATATTAAACTCTCATAAAATTCTTCCTCACTTATTCAATGATTGTCCTCAAGCATACATCAATTACAATTTCCAACATTCACCAAAGATTCACTCGAAAAGTTTAAGTTAAATCCCAAGTATATGCATGGATTGAAGAAGTTAGACAAGATAATCAAACAAAAGTGACAAGATAATCCAATAAACAACAATTAACCAAATGAATAAGGGGTAGATAAGCAAAGCTTTTATTATTTGCTTGTGAGATGAAATCAAACCAAGTTTAGTTTTATCATGATAAGCGATTGGCGGAGTGTGTGCTTTATTTTCCTCCCCTTTTGTATCACTTACTCTATTTTTTTCAAGCACTTATTTTTTCTCTCATTTTTTATTTTTCCTTTTTTTATTATTTTTTAATTTTTTTGTGCTTCTCTATATGTTTTTAACTCTGTAGTCTCGACTCGTCATCGAATCTTTAAACTTGAAAGGAGATGACAACCCAAGCACCTCACCCCGATTCTCCAATCCGATCACATTCAAACAATCTACTACTCACAATCGCCTCACAAAGTTACACGCATGAAGATAACATCAATCGTTAGCAAAACAAGCACAATCTCATATTTAAGCAACACTAACAATTATACCATAAGGTTAAAAGCTTTCTTCAAATTATTTCATCAACTCAAATCAATTATTC